TTTTTTTTTTTTTTTTTTTTTTTTTTTTTTTTTTTTTTTTACTGAAAATGTTGGTGGATGTCGCTTGGATCTAAATTGTTTGGCATGTTAATTTAATTATCAGAATTTTCTGGAAGGAATAATCTAGATTCTACGTCAAGTTCTTGTGGTCAGTGGAGAAGTTAACAAGCTTTTGTTATATGAATGCATTTCTTTATTATTTTATAACTTAATGCTTTTTGCTGCTAATGCTTACATTTTTATTCTATATTGAAATAATATGTAATGTAGGTGTATCATATGTGGAGAAGGAAGAGGTCCGCCTCCTACTTAGGCAGGTTAGTTTTTTCATGGTCGTATTGCTGTGGATAGTGTTGTATCTTGGCAAGAAGTTTCTATATATTAAGCATTGTTTTTCGTTATGAGGTATTTTATAGGTCAGATGTGCTTGATTCCTAAATGTAGAATCCTTCTTTTGGAGTAGACAAGTATAAATATAATGTAGAGACATTTCAAGTCCATTGAGTTAACAAAAGGGACATGGAAACTAAGATTATTGGTCTGCAGGTACTGTATAATTATGTCCATAATATGATAAGATTCAAAATGTTATCTCGTCATAAAATTATATGCAGGTATCGTGTAAATGTTCCACAAGTTTATGTATCTTTGCATAAAAACTAAATTCTAAATTTGTATTTGACAGGACCCGAAGTTTTGGACCTATAGACCATTGTCTGAATTGATGGTCCGTGCAGCTGCTGATGATGTACGCTTTCTGCTTTACATCTATCACAAGTTGATGGAGAAATTGAATCATCAATCGCTGTGGTACCTCGCAGTGCGTGGTGCTTTGTACTGCCGGTGTTTCTGCATCAATGATAATGGATATGCTAACTGGCCTCCTCTCCCTTCTGTTCCAGGTTTTCTTTAAGAACACACCTTACCATGTGCAGTCCATATAATGAGAATAATTCCAAATTTAACATTCTAATATGCTAAGTTGATTAAACTATCATTACAAACTTTTCAACATAATATGATTCTGTGGTGTTTCAATATTGTTGGCTTCTTTTATGTTATGATTTCACAATTGATATTGGGTTTAAAATTCAAAGTGGCTATTTAGCAATGTGAGAAATGTTGGCTCACCATCTTTCATTCAATTATCCCAATCTGCTGGAATGTGCAAAACATCAAATATATTAAAATTTATAATGTTGTATTATCTAATTATTATTGACACGTGGTATGTGGTTTCTGTCCTTAGGGTTCTTAGACTACGTTTCACTTCAAATCTTATTTTTTCATTTGATGCGTCTAAAACCTTTTGTTACATGGTCTCAATTGATCACCTTTATTGGTCTTACATGTTTTTTCAGATAACCTTGTAGTAGAGGACAAAGCTCCTGAAGAAGAAATTCTTTCAGTCTTAGACATTCCCCGTGGAATGATGGGTCGCGTAATTGGTAGGAGAGGAGCCTCAATTTTGGCAATAAAGGAATCTTGCAAGTAATTCACTATCGACAAATCCCTTTAGACTTCATTTATATCCTTTAGGCTAAAAAAATACCATAGCCGTTGTTTTTTCTCACCTTGGGTTCTTAAAATGCAGGGCGGAAATTCTCGTTGGCGGCACTAAGGGCCCACCGGACAAGGTAAGACTCTCTTTTCATTCACTTCAAAACAGACCACTATAAAGCCTAAAATAGAATGCTATTCTTTGAACTTTGCTGTGAATTTCCTGGATTCCTCTCTCCATTTGCTTCAAATCCCACTGCCTAGATTAGACCTCAACACCTCCTTTTGAGTTATTTGTTAAAACCCCCTGGAACAAACAAAGGGGACTCGCTCTGCTTGTCTCGAAGTCTCTGAGTATCAGCCAAAATCCTTTTGAATGTTGATGGACATTGAAAGTTGTTCTGTCAGTAAGATGAATGTAATTGTGGTGATGTAGGTTTTCGTCATTGGACCCGTGAGGCAGGTAAGGAAGGCAGAAGCTATGATACGAGGAAGCTTGCTTGAAATGTGATTGAATGAACATGAAAACCGTGTTGTGATGAACATGAACGCAAAATCCTCAATATTAAGAATACAGTTTCAGCTGCTAATACTAGTAGATCCCGTATGCAAGGGATTACTTTACATACTTCACAATCTTTTGTATAGGTACAGTAGCTTTGAGAAGCAAATTTTATGTGAAAAATATTATCAAATCAAAATATGAAAATTGAAATAAAACTTTGTTTTTACCTTCAAACTTAATAAATCTAAAATAAATTCGAACTTAATAACGGTAAACCATTAATTCACCTGGGCCAAATGTCATTCAATTATTTGTTTTTACCTTCAATAAGTTATTATCAATCAATTATTATACTGTTTTTTTTAACCATGCATGTATTGTACTATGTTTTTTTTATTGAAAAATTGTATCTTTGAAAGGACCTCTTCAGTGATATTTAAACCGTTTATTGTCTATGAGAGTAATGAACTGAACTCTTTTACCAACCAAATTAAGGGGTAAATTTCAGGAAATCAAGCTCATTAGTTTTCTAGCAACAAGGTATAGAGCCAGTCTTCAAAATGATAGGAATACAGAAATTTAGACAACGGGAGGGAGAAAGAACTAATCGACTCTTGAACAGAAACGTACATAATTCGTACAATCATTTATAGATGGTGTATTTTAGATCACTTCCTGTCCATTTTTATAAAGTTCAATTGCTCATGTCTTACTTTCGCAACATATTTAATAAAAAAAAGGAGCACTATTCCTTCATTCACAGTAACTCAGTAAGATATAGAACATTTTATATTATTATTCAAGGCATTTCCTCGAATCAATTAATATGTGGCGCATATGCAAACGCCACTCTCCAAAGGGCTCGAGGTTTTCTCGTACACTCTTTGCAGATCAACAGGAAGAAAAGCGGCACAAGTGAAACAATAAACTTACTTCTGGAAACCACCAAATTGGTATTGTTGACCAGAAAGTTGTGAAAAGAAATCGTCTCCAATCCCCTGCGATCCTGTCCGACCAAGACCAGACCCTGCACCCATTGCTTGCCCCATGTGATAAGTAGGTGCCGGTCCTTTCTCCCTCTCGTTTGAGAAATCGCTCAGTCCGCCCACCACACCGACATCTATCAGGGAAACCTTGTTGGCTGCAATGCATGCAAGCAACTGATGTATTAACTGTCAAGGGTGCTATGAAAACAACGCATACGAGGAACCATCGTTCCCAAATACAATAAATTAAGAGAACTAAGAAAAGATCTCAAAAACTGATGTGAAGTTCAAATACCTATTTAATACACCTAAAGCTCAAGAACTAGATTTATAAATTAAAGCAATTTAATACGTTCATTAAGCCCCAATCCAAAGTTCAAAGACATTCTAGCCCGGAATATTGTCTACCATACGTCCCAATTAGCTCAAGAAGAAAGGAAGAAAGCAGGGAATAAAGAAGAAGGTCAGTGAACGGGATTGTGACAGTTAAGATAGACTTACGAGCGGAGATATTAAGATCAATCAATCCTCGACTAAGTGAATCTGCCCAAATCCCAGACTTGACCTGGAAAGTATTCTTCTTCGCTGGAGCTGTTGAAATGTTGATAGATTTTCCATCTAAATTACTAGATGGGCCACCAACAGGATTCTGGGAAGGTTCTGAGGACACTGGTTCAGAACGCGAAGAAGTTGCACCCAAAAAATCTGATCCATCAAAAGAGTTAAGTGGAAGAGCAGCAAATGGATCCACAGTTTTACTGTCTCTTTTTGTGCTAGCAAAGTTGGTTTCTGTTTGCACAACCGGCTCAGCAGAGGCAAAAGGGTCAATTGGTGCAGAAACAGAAGCGGGTTGTGAAGCTTTAATGTCTCTTGCTGCACTGGCAAAGTTAGTTTCCGTTTGCACAACTAGCTTAGAAGAGGCAAAAAAGTCAATTGTTGCAGAAACTGAAGCAGGTTGTGAAGCTTTACTGTCTCTTGCTGCATCGGCAAAGTTGGTTTCTGTTTGCACAACCGGCTCAGGAGAGGCAAAAAAGTCGACTGTTGGAGAAACCGAAGCCGGTTGTGAAGCGAATAGATCAATCTCAGTCTGTAAAAACGATATATTTTTAACAAAAAACAAAAGAAAATCAATAATCAGAAAGAGGCACTTGCGAACTCTCCGGTCATTTTCGTGAATATAATTTTTTTTTATGAGATAATACTTATCGACTTAGTTTTTGATGAGCTAATACTTTCATGGATCGAAAATTTTGACAAGGATAATGAGTAGAAGTAAAACGACCAGATCAATGTTAAAACACCAAAATGCTCGTTGGTATATAAAAATAAAAATAACTAGTTGTTAAGGTACCATCCAACTTTCCAAGACAGAGATAATGCTCTGGCTTAATTATTCCTAAAGAGATGCATATAAAAACAGCTAGACAACGTCTAGTTTGGCAGAGATGAGAATTTCTGAAGGATTGGATTTCAATCGCATACCTAAGAATTTCCAAAATGTTACCAAGAAACGCAAGTGCACAGAAAAAGATGCACTACTTTTTTTGAGCTAAATGTGATACTATTCTTGAACCAAGAAGCAAGTCTTTAAGTTAGCTAAATGCAAGAAAGTGATTGCAGTAGCAAAAGGAATTTGTTTTTTCTCCTCGTCTATGGAAGAATGTATTCATGGTGGAATTTAATGACATTACTAAAAATCCAGAAGTATCCTTTACCTTTGATGGGGAATTTGGTTCCTTTTCCACTTGCGCTGAAGCAGATACAAAAGTAGCATCTGCAAACAGATCAACCACCGGAGAACTGCTGTCAGGCTTTCCAGGAGGAACAAGAGTTGGAGCATCCATGAGATCTCCGATTAAACTATCTCCAAAAAGATCCACCTTTTTGGGGCTTGGTGCAGCAGCTTCTGCCAAAAAGTTCAATTCAGAATGAATTATTCATTTGTTTTTCTAGTGTTAGCCTTTTTAAGGTTTAAGATTGTCTAACCAATTTAGTCACCAACGATATTTCATTTTTCTAAAACGGTAATTTTAATTGAAGATCACAAGATTTCTCTTTTAATATTTATTATTTATTATTAGCACAACTCTCTATTTCTGGATCTTCCCTTGCATCATTAAGTTATCAAATGTAGTTGTCAACGAACTACATGAAATTAATAAGGAAGACGGGTTTTACTCATCTATGGAAACATCCATCAAGTGATATCTTACCACGTTCATCATTAATTCACCAATTATCTTATTGCAACAAAAGAAGCACAAACATTTCAGAATTCAAAATACTAACTTGTCGTGGTGGTGGTGGAAGTTCCACGAGGATCAAAATCATCAAAATCTTCGTCAGAATTATTTGTAGGGGTACTAGAACTGAAGGAGGCAATCTGATTTGCAGAGTCTTCCGACTTTTTTGATGGCTTTGATGTACCAAATGATGTTTTACCTTGATCCTTGCTGAAAAAGAATTCTCCACATTATGAAGCAAGGCAACATAAAACTATAGAGCAATCTCGGTCTGTTTATATGAGACGCCTATAATTAAAGATCAATCAATATGAAACTCCACATAACTTCTCCAGAATTTAATAACTCCTACCATAGATGCAATAACTTCTGATCAACTTTTCATTTTAAAAACATCATCCACTGACATTTCTTCAGTTATATAATTCTTCAATATATGTAGAGTTCAAACAAAACTCAACCTAAGAACCACGCCTCAAAGGAACAGGCATTGTTTGTTTGCAGAACCTTCTACAAGCATCTTACATCATTTTTTCAATATAAGAAACGATAATATAATTCATCAAAGGAAGAACAATCTAAGGCCACTGGTAGAGACAACCCCCGCCAACAACCTATTTTGTGAATCTAACATCAAATTGAGCCAATAGAATCAAGTAAAAAGGTAATATTCAACAAGTACATACCTGCTGTTTTGCGCAGAACCCTTGCCATAATCCTGCTTTACCCAATCTGACTTTTTAAAATCATCTTGATCATTTTTTTCCTTTCTAAATGAATCCCTGTTGCTGCTCCTATCACGAAATCTATCGCCTCTAAAGCTACTCTGACCTTGATAACTATCACTGCTATAAGAACTACTGCTGCCATACGAGGCTGAACCTGACTTGTAAGTAATTCCAGTAGAAGAAAGTCCGAAGTACCTAAGAATTTTCAGTACACTAGTTATTCTAAAAAATCAATTCATGTACAGTGGCTAAGTTCCACCATAACAACCCAAATGGTTGGTATTGAAACAAGCTGAATTACATGTGGCAACATGAAAAACCAGTCTACTACTAAGTCTCCCTTCAAAGTGGTACGTAGAAAGCTCCTAAACTTACGGTGCATCTTGTTCAATTGCCTACATCCACTAATATTAATGTAAAGGAAAATAACTATATGGAGTGAGTTAAATGTATTTATCAGAAAGTCAGCGACTCATAAACAATTTGGCCAAGTCCAATGCCAAATAAGCACAAGATGCTAACGATAAGGATAAGACTAAGATTTTGGTAATGGTTGATTCAAGGGACGGAAAATTTCCTGCACGCACAAAAAACAAGCTAAAACACATGAAATTCAGCCATCGCAAAATATTGACGGAAGTCGAAGATAATGGCTACACTTGTCTTCATTTCGTTGATACAAGCATCTCCAACATATTTAATATAACTGACCTTGCGGCATATTACCATAACTCTAAGGAAAGCTCCCAGATTAAAGTCCGAGGCATAAAGATATAGTCCAATGTTGTAGCTGCTACTGGAGTTTATTGTTAATGTCATTTATTAACTACACAATCAGTAAAGGTTCTACCCCCATTCTTTTTAATATTTTGACCAAGGATCAATTAGTGAGGAAAAGCTCGGAAATATAACTGTCCATTCGTAGGTAGTAAATCTAGGAAAAGAAAAAAGAATCAGATTCCTGAAATGTTCACTTACTTTTCACGATTTGCAGCTGCTTTGTTTCTCACTTCTTGTATTTTATCTTTATCATTCAAAAGGGCTACAATGTTTTCAGCCTTCTTCCTGACATTTATGCCCATGTCCTTTCCATTTGGTTCAACATGTTCAAAACTCGAGAGTGACTATCCAACATAAACAAAACACAAAATAGAATAAAACTAAGAGTCTCTTAAGTGTTAAGCAGCATCTTAGAGAAAATTTTAGAAACATTCTTACAGATATCTGGAAAGTATGTTCGATAATGTCATCCACTGCACGTTCAGATCCATGTGCCACCAAATACTCTATAACAGCCAAAGCCTGAAGAAGTTGACGACACCACTCATAAGCAAGAGTGGGATGTAAACTACTGTTTTCAGAAAATAAGAACATATATAACTGGGAACCAATGAAGTTTTACCTTATAGACAAGACGCCAATTCTTACCAGTCTCACTCAATCTTGTCCAAAGAACATTCATAACCATCTGAGTTTCAGAACTGAAAAATCAAAATCAATCACGAAACAAAAGTAAGTGCTTGATTGAAGAGGGAAAGAAAGATATGGGAGGAGATGGAAAGAATTGTAACTTAACAATTTCTTTGTAGCTTGCGCTATTTCTGCTAAGGCAGATCCATGAGGACCCCATGGTTCATCATCTGTTGCATCCAGCACCTGCAGCAGTGATGACAACCAGCTATGAAATCACATTCAGAATTTCTATCCTCCAACAATAGAATATTAAATACTTCATTAGAAATTGGTCTGCTCTGAAACTTAATCCATTGTATCTGAAAATGCAAGTCCCTAAGTGTCATCCGGAACATGACCAACCAAATTGAAAATCTACCTAAATGGCACTTGGAGCTCAAACGGATGTGATTGCTGTATGGATTTGGATGGAATTGAGGACAAGAGTTGGCACAGACCAGACACGTAGCTAATGCTAACCGCCATTGTGGGAGTTGAATGCTACAATATTAAGCAACATCAATATCCCCGAAATACACCTAATTGGTGCTGGAAATTAACAGACCAGTGGTGTGACAGTTTTTAAACAGATATATTTCCTCCTTGTGTGATTGAATTATTATATTTCATCTTTATAGAGGTAGGACAGCAGCAACAAGGAAAATAGCATAAGAAGTATGCAAACTATTCTCCTGAGAGGGGTGGGGGTGGATATTGATAATTGAACAAACGTGTTGAGAGTTTCTTACATCCATTAAAGACACGGCAGAGAGAATCCATAACAACAACGAGGTACACATTTAAATCAAGATATCATCGATAAGCAAATGCATTGTTCAAACCTTCTGTTCGATTTCGGGAACCTTCAGGACCTTCAAATTCACCTCCCTCTTTCTGTAACAACGCATAAATAGATCAAATAAAAAAGGAAGTCCCGCCAAAAAATAAAAATTAAAGCTAACAGAAGGTCGTCTTCTATCTAGAAAACTATCATAACGGAGAGGGGATTGATAAAGATCAACTTGTTCGAGCCTCACATTTCACGGACAGTTTGATCGAAAACCTTCATGAAATCCATAATGGATCTGCGAAATCTATCACACAAGAATTGAACCAGAAAATGTGAGAAATTGGAGAACGATCTACGCAATGGATCCAGAAAAAAACCAAAAATAATAATAAATCAACAGCTGATATTGCTAAAACTAAACGATTGTGATCAAAAAAGAGAAACGGAGAAGAGCTAATGTACCTTTGAGTAGCAGGGAAGCTTCAGATCCTGGGAAAGAAGGAAATCAGGCCTCCGCGATGATTTTTCAACTTTCTTTTTATCGGTGATGGTTGAGAGAAAAGCCCGAACAGACGAGACACCACCAAACCAATTTTCTTAGCGGAATTTGATTGTTTAATTTAAATATAACTGAAAATGTTCCAAAAGTTCGCGCGATCTTAATAGTATATTTAATCTCATGAATATTTAGTAATTTTATATAATTATTATTTTCTAATATCGTATAATTGTAAGACATTCTATTTTATATATTTTAATTTTAATAAATAAATCAGTTTCTAATATGAAATATTATTTTCAAAATTTCGAGTATAATCATTGAAAGTAAATCTTCATTTTTTTTTTATATAAAATTGATATTAAATTATTTTAATAAATAAAAGCATGTTGAAAAATAATTCCAAACATAACAGAAGTGGTTTTAAATTTTTATAAACCACCTCAGAACAAGTTCTTACTAAATTGGAGAGGTGGACACAATTAGACAATGATAGCACATAACATTCATAAATGCTTCTCGAGTTCTCACAACAATTGTATGGGAGTCGTTCTTAGAAGGACTTCTCGAATGGTTGTATCAAATAATTATGTTGAAAATTTGTAAAGGTGAAGCTAAAACAACTTTGGAAGGAGAGACATTCTTTTTATATGGATCGTTGTTCAATAATGATTAGGGTAAAGAACTTTGGATAAACTAACGTGAATGGGTGCAAATCTTGCAACTCGAAAACATTCAGTGTTGACCACATTGAGAGAGACGAAAGTGCAGGTTACACAAATACTACACCAGTTGGCGTAGTGGTGTTAAGCATTCCTAGCAATACGAAGAGAAAAATGGTTACCGTATCATCTAGAATAAGGATGGTAGGAGAATGAGATGATAAAATTAATAATAATAGAGTTATTCTTAAATTTAGGCAGGGAGGGCTCTGGGCTCTACAGGCCACGAGAGTGATGGCCTTTCTTCTACAACCTTCCATTCTTATCCACTCCGAGTCGTACGGAAGATCCGTCCAAGTCGACAACAAAATATCTTGTCATTATTCGTTGCAGTCATTTGGATTTATTCAATTTTTTTGTTCTTTTCTTCCAAAATCAAACAACACCTACATTTCAATCGTAATCAAAATTTTCGTTACTTTTAATTGTTTTATTCCAAAAAAGAAAAAACCCATTTAAGGAACTAATTGAAGTAATGTACTAAGATTTAAATCTTACATGAACAAGGATGAGGATTGAGGGGCAGTATTGTGAAGCACGTTTATACACAATATTAACATTCACCCATTTACAGAAATTAGTAGAAACTTGAAACAAAATACACAAAAAAAGGACGAAAAGATTTGATTCACAGAGAAACTCAATTAAAGAAACAATTCCAATCCATGGCTTCTTCTTCCTTCTGGAATTAGTTCCGAGATCCGGCCAATATCAGCGGCCGGACACGCTCCACTGAGTTCTCTCTCATCAATTTCGCGTACATTTGGGCTCGTAGGTTTCTCCCTGATTCTACTCTCTCCATTGCTGGTTCTTCTTCGTTATCTCTGTCCCATGAATCAAATGCGCCGGAGTTTCGTCGGAAATTTGGACCGAAGCCGGAGATCCCCGGATTCGTTTTTAATTCATCAAAGTGGAGATTGTGCATCATTGCGACTAATCTACTGAACGATTCCCCACCGGTGGTTAAAGGGCTGATCGGAGACATAGGCGGCGAGTCCGACGATGATGATATTAGGATGGACGTCGGAGATGATACGGCAGAGGCGGCGATTTCCCTGCCTCGGGGAGACCTGATGCTCTGTTTCCCTGGAATCCGGAGTTGCTCCGACGAGTGGGCGAAGAAACAGACCCGCCTTCGGCAGCCTGCTCCGTCACGGCATGGCTGAGTCCGGTACCGATCAGGGTGGAGCCAAATTTCGAAAACTCCATGAGCGTACTCACAAGCGTCTCCTTTCATACAACACCCATGACGTAAATCCGGACACTCGGTGCCGGAATAGTTGAACTTCCTCGGATCCCGGCGGCGAGCCTTCTCGCCGGCGTGGGCGTAGGGACATTTGGTCCAATCGTGCGACCTCCCACGTGCGCACGCGCGGACTTTGAACTCGTACATCCGGAAATGGTCGCACGTGAAGGCGTCCACCATGGCCGGCAAGTCTTGATCCTCCCAGAGCAACGAATCGTAGTCCATAACCGCCGCCGTCGGCGAATCGAGCGGCGACACGTTGTCCGCGGTGAAATATGATGGGATTGCGGCGGCGGGATCGTCGAGGGAGTCCCAGGATGAAATGTGAGGCGTGGGATTGAGAAACATTGATTCGTTAATCATGGTGAATTGTGAGAGAAGGATGATGCAGTGGGAGGGTTTTTGAAGAACGAAATGGGAACTGCCAGTTTTTCAGGCGGAGAGACGGTGGTGGGATTTTGTTTTTCAACCGTGGTTGGTTACTCAACTACCTCCTTGTGTTTTACCCCTTTAAATATCTAGCGAATCCTTGGGGCATGCTACTCTGCCCGCATGTCCATGCTAATATGCTGCACTTTTCTTTTTCTTTTTTCTCTTTTTTTTTCCCCCTAGCTTCAAGTTTAAGACATCTTTGATTTGTACTATTTTTAATGAGTTAGTGTTTTTAGTTAAATTATAAAATAATTAATTTATTTTTATAACACACCCCAAAATTCAATTAAAATAGTCCGTAATATTAACCAAATTTTTTATATAGTTAATTAAAAAAAAATCTAGGATCAAACTAATCAAACTCTTGATCAACTAAATTTCAACAAAATAAAATAAAAATCATAAATTTCTGTTATTTTAGTTTTACATTTGGTAAACATTTTCATTTTTGGTACAAATTAACTGAGATAAAAGTTAAAAAATCTCTTTTATTTTAAAATTAAATTGCCATCACATGGGAATTCAATTTTTTTATATAAATTTAACAATGATAAAAGTGATGGATGAATGGTTGACGTTTAAAGATTAATTTATTTATGGGGAATTAAATTGTGTTTGGGTGTGGATGTCCTATCCAAGTAATTTTAAATAGACAAAAATTGGGGAAGTGGTTATATTTTATAAGAGGGGATTTTAGAGGACAAAAGTATGTGTAGGACGTGGACAAATATAATCAAGGTCACATGCTGCAGGGGACACTTGGAGGAGTCGGATGGAGAATAATTATTATTATTTAGTTTCCATAAAAAGCAAACAAAAACAAAGGGCCTGTTTCTCTCATCCACGTGGCCGACCGTGATGAGTTAAACCTAGATATTTGTCGACGTGGAGGCTGTAACTTGGCGGTGATGGTTTGGTCCTGCATGATTCTTGGTGCCACAAATCAACAACTATCCACGTGGCACACTTGATCTCTCTTCAGCTTTATTATCCCTCGAGATTCTCATGATCATGACCATTGACCATACCTTCTTTTCTTTTTTTTTTTTTAAATAAATATTTAAAATTTGTAGGCCGATCTTTATCCGGAACGATAGCCTTGCGTGTAAATTCTTAGAGGATTATCCACAAGGATATTCCACGTGGCTGATTTTGATTGGCAAATTAGCCAAGTATAATTATATAAAATAATATTATGATGAAGCAAAGTCACACCAAGCGTCTTTTTAACTTTTTAATTTTCGTTTTAATTTTCATATTTTGCTTAGTTGATAAGTTCAAACCTACTTTCATCTGCAAATTGTCTTATTCTTTGTGTTTAAAGTGTCCCAATGCTTTACTAAGAAGCATTAATTTTACATAAATCTTTAGCTTAATATTCCTTTTTAAGCCTCACGTGAATTCATTTCTTAATTAACTTTAATATTATAATTTTTTTTAATAATTATTTACAACTTGAGCCTGTTTAGATCTCTACGAATATATATATTTTTTTTTTGAAAAAAAAAAGAAAAAAAAAACTGAATAATCTTATCTATGTTTATCTTTGTGGGCCGAATCATGAAGATTGGGCCACCTTTGTGGGCTGAATCATACAATTTTCCAGCCCAGTTTCCGTGAATACGAACTAAAACGAAATTCAACAGCCCAACGGCCCAACGGTCCATTATTAATATAATTTAACTTATTTAGTTATTAAATTTTTAAATATTTTATTTTATACTTTAAATTTTCAAATGTAATATTTTATTTCACCTTAATTTGATTAAATATTTAATTGAATGAAAAAAACATATAACATTAGCAGTAGTAGTAGATTATTATATTAAAATGACATGACATTAAGATAAGTTGGAATTGGGAATAAATATAAGTCCAAGAAATTCCCCCTTGAGAATTGGTTCCTCATTCAAAACTTATCTATTTGTGTGATCTATGAATATAAATCAATTAAATCTTCAAAATTTAAAAGTATATAATCTATAAAAAAAACAATAATAGTAACAGTAATTCAAACATCTATATTTTAATTGATAATATTTGCATGAAATATATTTTAAGTAGAAAGAATTTGAACGTTTAATTTACTTCAAGTGAAAAATCACGAATTTCTATAAATTAATATTTTTAGAATTTTCTGGATAAATTATTTTAATTGAGGCCATCAGCACCTAAGAGGGCAATAATTTATAATAAAATATTAACAATAGATTTAAAAAGGATGATAATAAATTAATCGATACTGTCTGATATTCACGAATATTAATTTGTTTTTTTTAAATATATATTTAGAAGATTAATCCTAATTAGTATTACAGTTAATCAAAAAGTGCGTGTAGGAATTCCTTCTCCTCTCGGCCCCGCCGCCACGTGGCTCCATAGTTCTTGCTGCCGCCTTACCGTCACCGGAGAGAAATGGAGTACCCCAGCAATCGAGGAGTAAGCTTCGTACATTTTTTTGGGTAATGTGATTAATGGGGTTTTGGGAATTGATGTGCTTCGAGATTCTACACTGTATCTATGTGTGTGTGTGTTAATTTTAAGAGAGAGAAACCTCGCCGTCAGCGGCGGAGGGAAGAGACAATTGACGGTTGGAACTGGGAAACTGGGTGGTGCGCTACGGTGGTTGCAGTGGGAAATAGGAACAGCTCCGCTGACCTGGGCGTTTTCCGGTAGGGCCTTAAATCTTTACGTCTTAACACAAAATAACCAAAAAGAAAATATTGGTATATATTTGTAAAAAAAGGAAAAGTAAAAATGAATAAAAAGACAAAGAAATATGAAAAGAAAGGGAAACCAAACATTTTATGGGCAGAGGTGGAGATGTACGAAATGTTCGGTTCCAATTAAAGTGATTAAACGTTCCATCTTCCACTTTGCTAAATACAAATAAACATGCAAAAAAACAGGTAGGTTAGGTTTGTGGAGTAGAGATCCACAGAAACAGTATATTATATGATGCGATCTTATAATGTCACGTCTCGTTATATATGTTTCATAACATACATATCAAATCTAACATCGTCCAAGAGTTGGTATGAGTCTACATCTCATTCAATTCACAATTAACATCGTCATTCTTAGATTTTTTTTTTATTTTTTATAAATAAATTCACGTATAATTTAGGGTGAGAGGGTTGAAAAGGATGCACTCACTAACTTGATTGAAAAGGAATGGAACATAAATATGGAAAGGGACAGTGGATTCTAAATCTCACCAAATAAAGCAATAAAGTAAATGCAAAATGGAGGGAGAATAGGCTTTCAATAATTGCTTAAACTCATAAAAGACTCACATAATTTTCTCAACATTATAATAACAAATTAAAGTTAAGGAAGTATACTATATAATTATATTATATGGTAGTATATGGTATTTAGGGTTTGCCAAAACTATATATTATAAAATATTTATTTAGCAACTGGTTGACATGACACCAACAACTTCATGTTCATCCATGTATATCAATGCCCAAAAAAAGCTACATCATGATTTGATTGCATTTCAGACACTAGCACCAATAATTTAACTCACTGTTCTCTATATTGGGGTTTCTACACCTATATTTATATATACACATTTTTAAAAAAATTAATTATTCTACCTAATATAAAATTTAAATTCATTTAAAAAAAAATCAAATTTTCACCATGTTACCGAATCTGTTCAAGAAAACATAATATGACCTAATTGGACACTTCATCCGTAAAAAAAATATTATATTTAAGAAAAGTTGGTCGTTCATATATTCAAACCTACAGTCAAGTGGGAATTAGCATAGAAGGAAAGGAACGACCCTAATGTTATGTTGGTAAAACCAATTTCTTAGGTTAGAGATAGATATGAACGGACATAGAGACCCGAGAAACCCTCAATGAAGCATCGATTGTTTAAGTATATACTCTCCGCCAAGAACCATGGACATGTCAACAAGATGGGGTATTAAGAGTATAGGCATATGAGATTGATATATTTGAAAAAGTTAGTGAATAAACTAAAGTGGAAAGGATTCTAAAGGTGTGGAATTTAATGGGAGGAAGATGAATACTTGGAAAAAGTAGTAATGTGATTAGACAAGAGAATGGAGTGAAATGAATTTGTACATAATTTAGGAAGATTAGAGAAATAAAGAGAAGTAGAAGGAGTATTTAGCAAATAATAAGAATAGAAGGACTATTTGTGCAATTATTGGGTTCAGCCTCGTTTGTACAAATTCAGCCTTTTTTTTTTTTTTTTTTTTCCCTCCCTTT